TCCGCCGGCCATCACACGGGAGAGGAGAGTGGGCAGGCCGACCACCGGGCAGCGGCGCCGATTCCCGCGGCTCATAGTGGCAAAGCTGGTGAAAAGACGGGGGCGGGGGCGGGCGCGGGGGCGGGCAGCCAGGCCCAGGCCGAAACCCTGCCAGACCGGGGAAAAAAGGTCAGGGAAACCCCACCAAAGCCGGACGCCGGGCAGGCGCCGCCGCCATCCGCGTGCCTTTGTGTACCGTAGGGCCGGCGGACAGGCACGGCTCCGCTCTGCCGGCGGCAGGGGGCGCACGTGGCGCTGAGAATGCCGCCGTGCGCGCCACGCTCGCCGCCCGGCGGCACTGGCAGCACGCCGGCGACGTGTCTGACGCGCCCAATGGCCAGTCGGGGTACCAGTGAGGCTCGAAAGGCCGAGGCCTACTCAGCAGAGCCCTGCCGTGGGGACCACGGTATCTGAGTATAACCGTATCGCGGCACATGTCCCGATCTGAGTGTCGAGTCGTACCCACAGGTAAAAATCGGATAGGCGACGATCAACAATACACTTGAACTCCGACCAAGGTGATTGACATACGTGTGGCCTCAAACGTAGTGCACATAAGTGGTATATTTTTCCCCCAGCAGAGCGAGCAGCAGAGCTAATGTATGTACACCAATCCTGGACGGAGCGCTCAGTAATGTATGCCCACGGGATAACACTGGCCACCCTCATCACGAACGACAGCACCATTCGGAATGTAAGCAAACATGCCGCGCTAATTAAGCACCAAACCGCCTGCACAAGAGCGAGACGTAACGACCGTGTGTCTGGACCAGACAAATGCGACGCGTCCGTCGGAAACGGGCATCCAGAACATTCCGGATGGAGTGAGTCACCGAACCTCAATAGCACGCTGTGCACACGATACACGCCATCCAGACAGCCGGAAACTAAACCCAAACATCATCCGCCACGTACTTTGAAGTGAGCGTCCCGACTTTTACGTACCTGGTAGTTATTGTTACAAAGACGCGTACGACTTCACCGATGCTACCAGTTTTCTCTCGAAATTTCCTGAATAGCTCAGAATTTTTATTTGAAGTGGCCGACCCTGCGGATGAAATATCATGTGACCCTCCGCTCAATACTATGAAAGTAATCCATTCCATTCGCCTTACTTTTTCAGACATGTGCGTTTTGCAAAGTCTGCAACACACTATTGTGTCAAAAGGTTTGTGCACCAAATGCTACGAAAGCTTTGAAATACTGTCTTAACAAAAATATATGCGAACATCAAGCTCTTTTCTCACCAACTCTGCGAAATGTTATAATATGGTTTTGATTCCTCCCTCGTGATGTTCAACACAGTGGCCCTTTGCGAAGCGCATTTTGGCGCTGGGAATGGGAGCATCACATGATCCACGTGACGCACTGGTTCAAACTTCAACCAACTAACTTCTCGGTAACAGGTCCTTACCCATTGGGCCAGTCACAAACGTTCTTTTATTCGCACCAGACAGGCGCGCACGGCGGTTTTCATAACGGCGGTAGTTGTGACTGCAGGTAAGAAGCATAGTGCTGTTGCACAGCACTGACATCGTAATCTTAACTCCAAACATGATTAAGAAAAAGATTAAGAATGATTAAGAAACAAATTTATGCCTTAACCGTGCTACCATGACTGCATTATTAACGTGACTAGTCCTGAGGTTTCACTACATTACGTTTTTGAAAAACGGCCCGAGGGTGAGACACTCTCGTAAAATTGCGCGCATACTATCTGATGGCCCAAACTCAACTCAATCGAGCGAGCACACGCGCTTGCAGATAAGGATCGCGCCGTGGAATCCCGGGTCTGCGAAAAGCGCCGGCATGCGGACCGGTCCCCTGCCCTCCCTGGCCCGGTCTTTGGCGAGACACCCCGCTGGCACCGCTCAGCACCCCAGCCTCAGCAGCCGCGTGCCGGCTGGCTCCTATCGATGCCGCCCTCCCGGCAGCGGACCGCCACCCCGGCTCAGATACCGCGCCGCTAGTCCCCAGTCGGCGGCGGCGAGCGCTGATAAGGCCACCGGCCTGCACCCCGACGACAGATAAGCGCACCGATCACCGGCCGCGCTCCGCGATAATCCGCCGCACGTGCTCAGGAAGCCTCCGATCAAGTGCTTAAAATTCTGGGACAGATGATACTGGTGCCATGTTCGGGGCATTTTATGTTTGACCACTCATGGGTCCAATGTCTGCATTATGGCTCAATGTTCCACGCCCTTACTGCGCTAATTTTGCGAGACGGCGTGTGCCGACTCATCGACGCGTGTCAAGGTGCGTTGGTTAGGAACGAAAGCTATAATGCCTCGCAGAGGACAACAGCTTCGAGTGCGGAATCGTTAACACCGTCCCGTCGCACCCACAGACCTGCACATCCAACATGGGCGCGGAACAGGGAAGGGGACATTCGCGCAGACAGGAGCATTAGCCCCCAACAACTTTAAGACTGGGGGGGGGGGGGGGGGGGCGGTGCCTCAATTGGGCTGACCTGGCACAAAATCAAGATAATTTTCTCGCAGTCTTAAAAAATGAAGATAACTTGAAATGCTTCTTCATAGAACTCAGAACATTTTCATTTGAACACTCGGCTTAGTTGTTTGAACGATTTTGTTTTACTTAAATTGATCACCCTTCGAATGGAATGCTCCACATTTCTGTGGGGATTACGACTGAAATAGCCATCTGGAAGATCATTCGGTGCAGTTTGCGGCCATGCCCTTCTAAGATCCAAGTCCCTCTAGTTCGTGAGCTGTACGTTGAGCTGTGTGTCATCAGGCGACCAACCTTGTCACGAGTGGGTGAATCGGGAGGCAGGCGTTTTTGACCAACTGAGCTATCGGGACCGATAGAAATCCATCCGTTCAAGTGGTTCGAACTGAATCTTTAAAAACAAAATACAGGAAGTAAAAAGGGAGCTTCTATCGTCTTATCTGATGCCTGCTTCAATATCTTAAAATGTGGAACATTTCCTTTTCGTGAAAAGCAGACATCTGGTGGGGCACTTCTCGTGATATTTTAATTGACCTCTTTTATTCGGACCAAACCAGATCACTGCAGCGGTCTTCAGAGCACTATAAGTGAATCGGAATGGCAGACGTAAAAATAACGCGTGCTTATCGCGGCAATAACGCGGAGTTACCGCGGGGGCTGCCTCGAGCACCGGTAAATATCGGACCAAACATTTCCTGACAATGCGCTCATGACCGACTTCACTATGAAATAAATGTAAACATTTTTAACACTTTCTGGCATTTCTGGCATCCTTTTTCCGGAAATCGTGAACGTGAAAACGGACGGAAGGTCTGAGGATACAACTGCTGCAGGATATTGATGATGTATGCTTTCCTCTAACATTATAAATCAATAGCCAAGTGAGCCTGTCAAATGCATATGAGGAACAATATTTTACGATTAAAACAAAAATATCCCATACTTAAGAGAATAGATCCGGTATCGTAGTTCATAATTGACGTACGATGACAAAAAAGGGCAGGAAGGGATTGTCTTTTTCGTTTGTTTCAACCCTAGCCACCAAATATGAAATCGTTCCAGCGCCTCCGAGATACAATATGCAGGCCGGTCCGGATGTTGACGGCAAACCAGCCAACCAAAATTGCTGGGGCGTCAGTCTGCATAATAACGAGGCCGAACCACGCGCTCGACAACCCAACATCCCCAACCTCAACCCCTCCAGATGTGTTTCTCAACTGATTTGGCCCGCTTAATTCAAACGAACGGCAACTTTTATTCATCCTAGTAGTTTTAACCCTTGGTGCTGTGCTTAAGCAGCATGTTAGTCGTGACCAGCCAACAACGAACGCAAGACCGTGAACTCGGTGCGATGTTAGGCTATTCTTCAACTTTCAAAATGCTGCTGGGGCCCTAATCTGCGACGGGGGAAGGGGAGGGGCTGACAGAGCCTTCATTAAAGAAGATAATCGACACCCTTGTCGCATTCCACAACTTCCGAGCATATCGGGCTGCAAAAAGAGCTAATCTTCCAGCCCCGACGCACAGCGACCCACTGTTGCGCGATTTCCACCACGTGCCTTGCTGGCCTGGGCCGATTGGGAACGAGCCCGGCGGCGTCCGCCCGACGGCGCGCACGGCCAGCAGCGGCCACCCTCGGACGCCGCGCCCAGGCGGTTAGATATCACCATCGACCGTGGGAGTAGCCCGCCAAGAACAACAGCACCGGAGGCGGCGGTGGTCGCGGCGGGGCACGGCCGACGCCAGGGTCGGGTCGGGCTCGCCGGGTCTGACTGGGACGAGTAGATAGGGGCAGAGTTCACAACGCGGCTGGTCCATCTGCCCCTGCCCCGCACGCCATTCAACCAAGCCGAACAATGGCGCAGACGGCAGAAGTTAGTCTGCATGCCCGGAAGTTCTTCAAGGGGGTCAGCAAATTGCAGCAAAAACATCTGGGCTGATACAACGCCGCGCTCGCCAGGGCGAAGTCGTTAACGCACCTCTCGCCGCCCCCACATTCCGCAGGTTCCCCGCCGGGCCTCCACAAACGGACGTGCCGGCAGACGCTGTAATAACGGCCAATTGAGCCGATTTCCCCCGCTCTCACGCCGGTGGCGCCCTCGACCGTCGCCCTCCCACTCTGCCGGTGTCCGGACCGGCGCGGCGGACCCGACGGACCCTTCCCCTCAGGGTGGATCGTGAGTCATAACAGGGGTCTTGAGTGCCCCGACCTGCCGCCATCACCACACGCCAGCGAGCCGCACAGGGCCATCAAGCCGAGGGCCGTCACTGACGCCGGCGACGGTCCGTCTCCCGGCAGGGGGTCGATACAAGGTGGCGCCCACAGCAGTAATCGTCAGGCGCATCCCACGCCCCGTGCTCCCCACCAAATTCCACGAACGCCGCGCACCACGTGTCATGTTCCCACTCTCACCACGTCACGACACATGTTACGCACGCGCTCCCCACCGGTTCACAGTCGGCCGCGCACGCGGCGACGGCGCACCCACCTTTCCACCGCGTGCCGTACAGCCGCCCTCCGCCGCTTCCCGCTCTGAACTAGACCGCGCGCGCCATCCGACACCGCCAACGGCGCCCGCGGCGCTGACGTCACGCATTACGCAAGACACCGGCCGGCCAGGCGGGCACATGGCCCGCCCGGCCGGCGGCCGCCTGCTCCGGGCTCTGCGAGGAATCACTTGGATGAGTGGTTCGGGGTGTGTCATGAATGGTGTTGACGTAAGCGAATGGTTGTGAATACGACGCTAATCGCCGATCCACGCCGAGGCATCCACTCGCGACAAACAAACAAACACGCTGACCGGGTGGATAGATATAGGTTGAAGCTGAGTCATTCCTCTGGCAACTAGCGGAACGGTACCGTCACGGGCGCCGATCTGCATTCTTTTGTGAGCCCCCCCCCCCCCCCCAATGCTGAGTTGATCCCCCAATGCTTGGCTTGGTCTTCCCTTCAATGTTTTTGGCTGGATGAAATGTTATGAAATGTGACAGAAATGTGGGTAAAAGATGATTATAACACAAAGATATCTTCTTTGATCTTCCTGCGTAGTGGCGTCTCGTACCACTCTCATAACAAAAAGTCATCCACAGTAATACACCACCTTCCCTTGGCGATTGTAATGTATGTACTGCGACGGTCAAAACACCTTCTTCCCATTTCTGCGAAGCTTTTTAGTTGCTCGCGTAGTCAATATGAAATAAGTCGAAGCACGTCGCCTAAATACTGCCAAGATGCAATTCCACGTCATCAATTCCACGATCATTCCATGTGGTTCGGTGACAATGGCCTAGAAAAGCCCCATATTTAATATCCAGCCAAGTTCGGCGCAGCGGTTTATTGAGAAAAGGCCTCACAATCTTTGTGGGGCTTTGAAAAAACGACCGGACCCGGCCTAATTTTTGGATGATCCTTGGTTTTGATCCGGACCTCGGATGATACTTACACCGATTACTGACACAGACACCTCACTTTGGTTCAACCTTTGCTTTTTCCACGATTTAACCTTGCAAACTTGACTTCCAGTGGCCTTTGCTGTGCGGCTTTTTTGGGTAGTGGGTAATTATGTGGCAGCTTCAAACCCTCAAAGTCTGGCGCACATGGCGTGAAGAGCCCGCCGCAGAACGCCAATTTTCACACTGCTTCCGTAGGTATTGGCAGACATGCAGTGGGTCGGCGACCTGCCCTGGCAACAGCTCGAACTTCGCGCGCCTGATAAAAAGCGTTTAAAAAAGGTCCCAAATTGTTTCGCAATTCGCCGAGCAGTAGAGGGTACCCCTGGAAAATAGGAGTCTTGCATCACCTTCAGTGCTGGAGTGAAATAAGGGAGGGGGGTGGGGGGGTGGAAGCAGTCCTTGAAGACCACCACAAAACTCCAAAGGCCACAAGACTATCGGTCACTGTACATACGTGACGCTGCAAAGCGCATCTGAGTCTACCAAAAAAAAACGAGGCAGGCGAATTACCTTGATTGAATTTCAAGCATTTCAAGGCTTGGAGGTTTGTACAAAGCAAAGCCTTGCTTCGAGCACGGCCACCACCAAGACTCATTGACCGGTAGCTTATCACAGAAAGGATGTTCGGAGGGCCCTAGCCCGTTCGCCGCTGTGTTGCGGCTCGGTCTTAGCGTTGCTGACGACGGGGATGGCATTCCTATCACACAAACGCCTTCGTGCATGGAGCTTCTAAGTTATGCAACTAATTTGGTAACGCAAACTCCGTCAAACGAGCATTTTGGCCACAGGCGATGCCAACTGCTTTAAGTCATGCGGCGGCCATAGCTATGATTTTATGCAGGGGCGCAAATCAAGTAACTGTATCAATCAGGTCACCCTATAGAGCCTTGATGATCAAGCCTGGTGTCGTGATGGAAAGATTATTGGAAAATCCACGGAATCTACAAGGGGTCGCTAAGAAACTGGAACACTTTCCCAATCTCGACAGCATGTAAGCAATCCCCTAAAAGTGACATAGCGTGGAACTCTGGACGTTGCGTCCAAAAAAACGCGCTTTCGCTGCACCAAGGCGGCGGCAGGCAACGAGTACGTGATGCACGGTCAGCGGGTCAGAGCATAGACTGTAGCGCGGTCTGTCGCCAGCCAATAACGGGTGACGGTGTGTAGCATATGTGTGGCCTATGTGTAACCGGCAAAGGGCAACCTCTCCCTCCTATTGTTGCGAAAACACGACTGCCATATTACAGTACGGGATTTCACTGGCTTCAGCTTGCTGGGCCTCAGCGAGTCCCAGTGGAACTGCCATCGCTTCTGCATAAACGACGACACTGCGGAATACATATCATGCGCTGGCAGTGGTGTTATAGGAATGCGTGTCCCGTCGTAGTGCGCTTTACTGCCGCATCAACAAGATCACTTCCGCAGATCTCCACGTGACTTGGGATCCAACACAGAACGACCGCTTTTCCCGCTCAATCCAGGGAGCTAAGACGCGACTGAATGTCCTGGACCAGTGGATTCGACGTGGAGAAGCCACTAACAGCCAGGAGGCTGCTCAAGGAGTTGGAAAGAATAAAATGCAACTTGCTATCGTCTACTTCAATGCAACAGAGAGCTTTGCTGATGGCTATAAGCTCGAAAGTGGAGACCGACGCGTGTGCAGACAGTGTGAATGACCGTGTTACGGAACCACATACAAGAGCGCACCCTACACCTGCATCCGTCTTTGAACCATCCGTGTAAGTCATCACGTATCCGTCAAAGGAGGCTATGTGCTCTAAGGCCGCGCCTTTAAGTTCCGTCACGAGAACGCGTTGCTTTTGCGTGTTTGATAGACAAACATCCACTCTTAGCGATGCTAGCTCCTCACAGGCTAGACATGGGTTTATATCTGGGATCTGGGATCTTCATGGGTTTAGATCTGATGCCACGTCGTATGTTGAAGCCGCTCGCGTCTCCTAATTCTCACATTCGCACACAAAAGGGAGAAGTCTGTGGTGACCGATAAAATAGAAATAGCCTTCGTAAGCTACGCGAAAACACTGCTCTGTAGGAAGGATGATTTGGGAACTGCGTCAGCTTGCCTGTGTAGCGCAGTTCCAGCATATACCTTTCAAATGCTAGTGAGGGATCGTGAGCCTCCCCAGAAGACAATCTATGGACAATGTCCGACAAACCCCTGTGGCGATGCGTAGTGCTGCGTCGTGCACTGTGTTACAAATGTGTTTGATCACGTCTCATGTGCCGTCATAGATAAAACAGCCGTAGTCAAGTTTTGAACGAATGAGGGAACGGTACAGGAGTGAGAGCGTCATCCTGTCACCACCGTATGATGTACGTCCCACGCACCTAAAGATATTAGGGGATTTAACACTTGTCGCAGAGATTTTTATGTGCTTTTGGTATGTAAGGCGTCGGTCAAATCGTATACCGAGAAATTTCTCGGTATTCTCAATAGCGACGCCTTGCCCATACAGCCTGATTCCCATTTCAGGAAAGTGACGGCGACAGAAATGAACTGCAGTTGTCTTCGATGTGGAAAACCGGAACCCGTTGAGCACTCTTCACTTCTCCAGAAGTGTGACAGGCAGCTGCAGCTGTCGCTCCATCGTGCCAGTAGTCGACGAGCCGCACCAAATAGCGAAGTAAAGTGAAAACTGTGCCCCTTTATCGTTTATCATCACTGCAAAGAGGATGGCACTTCAAACGCCGCCTTGAGGCACACCATTTTCATGCGGATATCTGTCGGAGTGATAAGAACCAACACACACCCCAAAAAATTTGTCAGTCAAAAAGTTTCATAAAGCTTTCCGATCCAGATGCCACAATCCAATAACTTTATCAAAATTCCAAGTCTCCATTTGGTGTCGTAAGCGTTTTCTATGTCAAAAAAGATGGCGCCGGTATGACGTTTGCTAATAAACCCAGCCCACACTGCGGGATTAAGAGCTAAGATGTGGCCAATCGTGCTTCTGCTCTTACGGAATCTACACTATGCATTGGTAAAAAAGTTTTGACGTTCTAAGGCCTATGAAAGCCACACATTGACCATCATTGCCATGAGCTTACAAAGCGAAGACGTAAGGGCGATCGGGCGATAGTCAAGGGCTTACGTTCCACTTCTCCCGGGCTTTAAGATAGGCACCACTATGGCCCCCCGCCAGGTTGGCGGAAAGCTACCTGACTCCCACATCCAGTTGAAACGTGCCAGCAGTGCTCGTAGTGTACGGGGAGGAAAATGTAGCATGCCATTGCGGATGAGGTCGGGTCCCTCCGCAATACTACGCAGTGAGCGAATGGCCGCTTGAAGTTCTATCATAGTGAAATCCTTGTACGTCAGTATGTCACCTGTATAAAAATTAACTTGGGAAGTTTTACATCGCGCCCTGTGTCGCAAAAACCGTGGATTGTAGGCAACATTTCGGCAACGGTCTGACAAGGCTTCCCAATGGTTCCTTCGACATCACTCGGGCGAGTGATGTCTTGACTTTCCACCCGCAGTACGGGAAGTGAAACTGGTGGGTGTAATCCCGCGATTCTTTTATTGCGGTCCCATACATATGACATTGGCGTGTGGCAATTCAGTGAGTTGACGTAGCTGCACCATGCACGTTTCGCCTCTCGTATAGTGCGGCGTGCGACCTCACATGCTTGCCTGAAGGTCATGGGGTCACAGTGCTGCTGTGACCCAGTGCAGTGCAGTGCACAGAAGGTCACACGCACTGCTGTGTTAATCAAAAGCCCTAAAACCTCTCCGATGAGCGCGAATATCGTCGCGACGATCGTCGTTCCACCGAGGTACAGAGATGCGACGAGGGCATCCAGAGAAGCGCGGAATGTATTCATCTGCCGCGTCCAGAACACGAGACGCAAATTCCTCCGCAATCGGAGTCACAGATTCGAAATCGCTAGAAAAAGTTTCCTTCGGGCGGGTATCAAATCCGCTCCAGTCCACCTTCTTGAAATTTCAACGCTGAGGTCAAGTGCCAAAAACAGCACCATTATGGTGCCGAGCCCGGACCGGAAAATGGTCACTTCCGAGAGGGTCCTCTGAAACAGCCCAAGTGAAGTGTGATACCAACTGCAGACTACAAATGCTCAGATGTAGCACTGACGATCGTCCTGACGGCAAAGTAAAATGCGTCCTTGATCCTGTTTTCAAAACA